ACACACTGTATGAAACTACGTTAATGGAGGACTTGGATGCCCAGGTCCCCTCCTCCACCCATCACACAACCAGATGAATACCCTTAACTTGCCCCTGCAGTTGACCAAAGGCACTTGCCCTAGAGAACTTCAGCAGAGAAGCTCCAGCCTCAGAAGAGCAGGAACAGGAGAATCCAGGGACTGGAGACGGGGTGGGGTTATCAAAAACAAAAATCTTCATTCAGGCTGAAAGGACCTGCAGCCTCCCAAGCCCTTTCCCCACCCTTTGGCAATCAGGCTTTATCAGATATCTGGAGGGAAATACTGCAGAGTGGTTAAAACTCAAATTGGTTAAAGCTCAAACTCTAACCCTGGACTGTTCAGTTCACATTCTCACTCCCCCACTTTTCACCTATGAATCCTTAAACAAGTTTACTTCATCTCTGGGCCCCAACTTCCTCATCTGAAAAATAGGTATAATACACCTCTGTAAGTTTATTTCAAGGATGAAAATAGACAAGATTGAGAATCACTGAGTTAGAAATACACAAGAGTCTTAAACAGCCCCTGGTATATCTCCATATCTGCAGTACTCACCATTTCACTCTAGAGAAGTAGAAGAAATACCAGTAAGATAAGTTAACCCCTCTGTTAACTTGGAATATTCAAGGAAGAGAAAATTCAAGGGAAGACCAATAAAATAAACAGGAGGAAGGAATCCATCAACTTTTCAACAATTACATATATATATTTATATATTATATATATATGTTTATATTAATTGTTCATTATACTGCAAGAATTCTTATAAGAGGGAATGGAGTGGTTGGTTACCTCCCCTGCTTAAGAATTACTATTCTAGTTCAGCACTGCTAGTTATTAGAGAAATGCAAATCAAGACTATAATGAGATATCAGCTCACACCAGTCAGAATGGCTATCACCAAAAAAATCCACAAACAACAAATGCTGGAGAGGATGCGGAGAGAAGGGAACTCTCCTGCACTATTGGTGGGAACGTAAGTTAGCAGAGCCACTATGGAGAGTAGTATGAAGGTTCCTTAAAAAACTAAAAACAGAGCTACCACATGACCCTGCAATCCCACTCCTGGGCATATAACCATAGAAAAACATGATCCAAAAGGATACATGCACCCCGATGTTCACTGCAGCACTGTTTACAATAGCCAAGACATGGAAGCAACCTAAATGTCCACTGACCAGGGAATGGAAAAAGAAGATGTGGGACATAGCTACAATAGAATATCACGCAGCCTTTAGAAAGAATGGAATGATGCCATTTGCAGCAACCTGGACGGACCTAGAGAGTCCATCTTACATCTTACTGAGTGAAGTAAACCAGACAAAGAAATATCAAATGACATTCCTCATATGCGGAATCTAAAAAGAAACGACACAAATGAACTTACCTACTAAACAGAAAGAGACTCACACACTTAGAAAACAAACTTATGGTTGCCAGGGGAAGCAATAGTTAAGGACCTCGGGAAGGTCATGTACACACTGCTGTATTTAAAACGGATGACTCATAAAGACCCATTGTATAGCACATGGAACTCTTGCTCAATGTTATGTGCCAGCCTGGATGGGAGGGGTGTTTGGGAGAGAAGAAATACATGTATATGTATGGCTGAGTCCCTTTGCTGTTCACCTGAAACTACCACAACACTGTTAATTGTTTATACCCTAATACAAAATAAAAACTTCAAACAAACAAACAAAAATAACTATTCCAGATCTAAAGATCATTAATGAACCAGTTATCATAAAGAAAAGTAGGCACAAACTAGGTGCCAGACAATTTATTAGAGCTCACTATAACTTAATAGCTAAGGATGCAACAGTGAATAAGAATTCAATTGTCCTTGTCCCTGTGGAAGTAACTAAACCACCCAGCAGGCTAGTGCAGCAGCTTGAGGATAAGTCAAATCCTATACTCTAGTCAATAAACTCAATTATCATTTTATAATTGAATTTTATAATTTAGTCAATTAACATTTCGTAATTGCTAATACAAAATCAAGTCTGAAGTACAGACACACACTATGTGCTATTAGTATTCACAATGACCTTTTCCTGAATGTAAACTTTTAGGAACTTTGATAAATGATGTATATGCATTATCTCATTTAAATCTGATGATTCTATCAAGTGAATATTATTTCCCTCATTTCACAGATGAGGAAAGTAAGATTAAAGAGGCTGAATAATTTGTCCAGAACCATATAGATAGGCAGAAGCAGAGCTGAGATGCATCAAGTCTCTCTGACTCTAAAGCACATGTTCTTTCCACTCCATAAAAACAAGACTCCAAGAGAGAGGTACCCTTGAAAATTACAGGGTAATGATTTTAAGTCTTGCTCAAAGATACCCACCTTGAGTATGCCCTTTTCTTTCTAACTTTCTCTAAATGTTCTCGATGCAGCATTTTGCTAAGTGGTAGCATAAAAACTATAAAGCAAGGAAAAAACAAAGTTGTCCATAAAACCTTGAGAGAGGGGTGTCCTACATCAGACTCAAAACTACCACCCTCTCCTCTAAGAATGCTGAGTCACGTCTGACTCTTGGCAACCCCATGTACTGCAGCCCTCCAGGCTCCTCCGTCCATGGGATTCTCCAGGCAAGAAGACAGGAGAGAGTTGCCATTTCCTACTCCAGGGCATCTTCCTGACCCAGGGATCAAACCCGAGTCTCTTCTGTCTCCTACACTAGCAGGCGGGTTCTTTACCATTGCACCACCATCTAGTGACCTTCATTTTACGAAACACCACCAATCCATTTAGCCTGACAGAATCTGCTAGGTTAAAAAAAAAACTTATGTTTGTGTGAATGCACGCCTAAGTGTGTATCTGTATCTGTATATAGAGTTTTTCCTAGTGTCACAGTATTTCCAAAATTGTATTGTCTTACTTGAATATGCCTTCAGAAGAACCTTTAAAAATCAAATACTTAAGGGATGAAAGATTAACAATATAAATACTTCTACAGTTCACAAAGGGACAGAGGGCTCAAGTTTCCACAAGCATTAGCATGCTGCAGTATGCCTTAGGTAAATCGTTTCATCTCTGGGCCTCCCTGAAAGGAAATCAGATGACACAATCTGTAAGGTCCATCCCACCTTTAAAATTCTACGATACAAGAACCAAGAAACCCCCAAAAACACTTTTCAAAGCATGATCAACTTTATCTCTGAACTGAGAGAGCAAGGATCTACAACTCAAAGAGAAATCTTATTAGCATTTTCTATTGCATCTGGACCACGTAACATGGCAGTTCCTTTAGCAGCATATCCGTGCTGGAGTGCAGGGTTGACAGAACTCCAAGGAACTGCCAACTCTTAGGGAGTAACATCAGCCAGTTCTGACTCTTTTCATCTAAAAGTGTTTAGTCTGAAAGGAAAATAAATTCCACTTCTACAACCCATGAAAACCATCCCTCTCTATCTAAAAAATAATCTTTCCATCTCAGCTTCAAGAAACTAATAAAATAAGAATCGTTAAGACAGCTGAATGAGTAAGTCTTCTCTAGTAAGCAAAAGTGAAGATTTCAAAAAGGTATGAAATCTGTTCATAGTAGCAACTAAGGACTCAGGGTTTTTGCCTATTCTTTCTCTGGTTCCTTTTTAATAAATTAGACATGAGTATCAAATATGGAAGAGGAGAGAGTATGTGAATAAATGTAGTACTGAGGCTCTCAAAGACCGCATAGTCTAAGTTTCCTCCTTATTTCTGATTAAATAAATTACCTCATTAAATTAAAGCAAGCCTTAGGGCATGTTATAATAATTCATAAAGTTACAGGCCATGCTACTGTGGTTTAAATTTATAACTTAATTTTATAATTAAACCCCAAGGAATAATATACAAAAAAAAATGTAAATGCATATACCTATTTTCAACAATAGGGAGAAACATCCTAAAAACAACAAAATTTAACAAATCAAAATTAAACATTACATTCAAAATATTACCTTTAAAATATCTCATTTCACACTCTCTTCCCAAAAGGCTAAAAATATCAGAGGGCCATTACTATTCATTTCATACATGTAGACAATAAAGTTAAAATTGGAGTAAACAACTTTACTAAAATCAATAGAGTAAAAGAAACAGGATTAAAATTCAAAGCTTCTGATTACAAGATCCATGCTCTATTCAGACATCAAGACACCTAATCAAAGATCCTGCAAAAAAGCAATTACTCAGGTGTCTGCCCACCAGGTAAAAATGTCCATGCAGGAAATACCTGCTGGGACAAACTTCACAGAGAAAAATAAAATGTATAAACACACTCTTGGGCACTGATAAAACAAATAATAAATAGCTACAGGGGATTTCCACCCCCACCCCCAATTTTAACAAGTCTTTGACTTAAAATTTTAAACCACACTAAACAGGTATTGAGAGGATAAAGCAATACAACACTGATAAATACACTGAGCCAATAGTACAAATTTGAATTTGAGACTTTACACATAATTTTTAAGCATCCATTCAGCCCATTACATCTCTGTACCTCTGGAAATGACTCCATTAGGAATCAATGAAGGCTTTCCCCAAACACATCATGTCCAACCACTAAAAGATTTATTAGAAAACACCTTTCAGAAATAAATATGCTAAGGAAATGTAATTTTATTAACAAGATCCATGAATGTTTTATAAATATTCAAAACAAATCTTTGTTAGTTACTAATATACTTTTCTAAATATAATATACCTAACTTAAAGATAAAAACATCTTTTAGAGTCTGGAGCAGTGGATCTCAAACAAGGATGATTACTGATGTTTAAAAATGTTTCGACTGTCCCAACTGGGAAGTGCCACTGGCATCTAGAGGGTAGAGGCCAGGAGCTCTGCTCAGCGTCCCACCATGTACAAGACAGCCCACCCCCAACCCCTGGCAAAGAATCACCTGGACCCAACATCAATAATGCCAATGTTGAGAAACCCTCGTCTACAGTCTAAATTTTATCACAAGGACTATTAAGGTTTACATACCTTTGAATTTAATATCCAGACCGCTAAATTCCAATTCAACTCCTTGAAGTGCTTCTCCCAGAGTTTCATGGTAATGACTGATACTTTTTTTTGACCCCACACAGAATGGAAGTGAAAAGTACTTATATGTCTCTTGGCGATTATGGTAGGGCCCAACGGTATTCATCCATAAGACAACTTCCTCTTTATCCTGATACTGAAACAAACCAAAAAAGCAAGTAAGAATATGTTTTTTTAAAAAATCTAATTCAAGTTAAGGGCATATTTTGCTATTTATTCTAAACAAAAATGTACTATCTCAGTTTTGGAAGCTTTAAAATAAAATGCTGGAAGCTTGTTTCAAAACGATGATCAGTTTCTACACATTAAAAATGAAATTTGGTGAATTTTAAAATGATGTATTCTGATTATGGTCTCAGGCAGATTCATGTTTTCCAGTCTTTGTTTTATAGAAGATACAGTTTAAATAAACTCCAATAACCTGTAGGAAAATGTTTATACTTAACATTTACACTATCAAATAATGATAAACCTAGAACCGACATGATTCACCATGCTTACGTGGACAAAGGAGGAGGAAACAAAATCAGTAGTTTATCCAGAACCTAATGTTAATCACTGGAAACTCCAAAAATCTAATGTCAGCAAGCACAAATAAAATTTCACCCTTTCTTCCCCCCCACAATCATTGGTCAAAAGGAGGAAATGGCCAAAGAAGAGGAAGAGAAAGCCATACTATGCAACCTCCACAACTCATCCAAGTCATCATTCTATCTTTCCCTTTATCAGCCTGAAACACAGCTACTGCATGCAAATTTCTTTGAATAAACAATTATGGCTTTACCCATCAGTGAATACTTTATGTAACTAAACTTGTGCTGTGGTCCAATGACTTTGGGTGACTTCACCTTTCCAGGGTCCAACTGGGGAACTGCCAAAGATTTCTAAGATCTCCTCAAGTTTAAAATTCCAATGATTCTATGAAGAGTGGTTACCTGAGTGATTTTAAAACTAATAATCCTAATTAGCAATACAAATGAAAGACAACATAAGACGCAGGTTGTCAACTAACAGTGCAGAACTTATATCACCAAACAACTATTTACTGAGTACCTACCATGTGCCAATAATTGTGTTCACAACTGAGACAGCTTTGAACAAGACACATTTCCTGCCCGACTAGAGCTTAGAGCCTAAACAAAAAGATGGACACTGAATGAGCAATTATAATCAGGCAGTGTGCTTATGGAGCATATAAAAGAGAAATCTATCCAACCAGACCAAATACCTAACATTACTCCCAGTCCTCCATCTAATGGCTTCCCTCATAGCTCAGTTGGTAAAGAATCCTCCTGCAATGCAGGAGACCCCAGTTCAATTCCTGGGTCAGGAAGATCCGCTGGAGAAGGGATAGGCTACCCACTCCAATATTCTTGGGCTTCCCTTGTGGCTCAGCTGGTGAAGAATCTGCCCGAAATGCGGGAGACCTGGGTTTAATCCCTGGGTTGGGAAGATCCCCTGGAGAAGGGAAAGGCTACCCACTCTAGTATTCTGGCCTGAAGAATTCCATGGACTATACATAAACAGTCCATGGGGTCACAAAGAGTCAGACACGACTGAGGGACTTTCACTTCACTTTTCCTCCATCTAAAATGAATAAACATTTTCCACCAAAATCCAACATCTCCAAAACAAACTCATCCCACCCAAACGCAACCCCTCAAAACTTTTTCTAATGGTATTATCCTCTCAGACACGGAGACTCAATCTCCAAGTCCCTCTGCATTCCAAAAACCGTTGACTTGTCTATTCTTATATAAGGCATCTGCTTCTTTTGATTCATACCACCATCAAACTAGGACTTAGATCTAATCACCTTCAAACATGATGTCTCACTGCCCTAAGACATCATTCAGGTATCTCGTCAAGGAAATAAAAAACTACCTGACTTTTTGAATACATGACACATGTACTAAGAATAGTACTAGGTGTTAAGGCTATAAAGGTAAATCTTGTCCTATAAGTAGTTCACAGTCCAAACTGGAGCCAGAAAAGTAAATGATTAACAGTGAAGAAGTAAGTGTTACAATTAAGGTAAAAAGAGTTATTGTAGCAACAGTAAAAGAATGATTATTTTTGCTTTGGCACAGAAGGATTGGGATGAATAACAATATGGAAAATCACAAGCTGTTTCAAGTGAATCCAGAAAAACTGTAGATAATCTTTATGTACGAAGAAACCAATCAAAGGTCTTAATGTACCCACAGATCCCCATTCATAACTACTCTTGTTACTTTAGGGGCTTGAAAAAATACAAATGACATCACCCTTCTGTCCAATGTTTAAGGTCGCACTGCACTAATCAATCAAGGTATTCCTTTCTGCACAGATACAGATACAGCATAACAAATCTCAGAACAGTTCTCTAAGCCCATCACTATCCACTGAACAGAGCTGGTATTAAAACAGAATTGAAACCTGTTCACAAAGTAGAAGCTTTTTGCGTAGTATCATGTACACAAAAAATATTTAATAAATATGATGAAAAAACACTGAAGAAAGGCTGAAATGAAAGGTCGTTAGCAACTTAGAAGACGTTTCACGTATGTGCACTGAATGCAATAGTATCCTTTGAAAGAAGGAAGGAGAGGTAATCACGTGTATCCATTCAGGATTATAACCATGAAAGAGAGGAACTATTCTTGTCATTAATCCTGCTGAGAGTCTGCAGAAATTTTATAAACGTAACAACTTGTGAAAATAAACAGAACACCTTCTCTATAAATCCTAATGCTCATATTCCTTTAAAAATAGACAAAAACACTAACACTTGTTAAAATAGAGCATTCATTTATTTCATACACATTGAAACATAAGACTAAAATAATTTAAGGGTCATAGTGTGTGTTAACTACACATTCTGAAGTCACTCATTTTCAACATTCATGAAACCTTAATGCGGTAGTAGAGTTCTGATGACATGATGCAAATGTGTACAATTCTGTAGCATAGGATTCCTTCTGGGAAGAGGACTGAAGCAGTGAATGGGGGAAAAATACATATATATATATATATATGTTATATAGACATAAACACGCATAGACACACACACACAGATTAGGGTGAATATTAAGGTTAAAAATGTTTCTTTTACATTGCTCCTTATACAGACCACAAATTTCAAGAATTTAAAATGTTTACTTTTCATTATAGTTTTTTATTATCCCTGAGAATAAGTATTTCCAAAGGGAGAGTTCTTTTCAGAGAGAGAAAAATGTGTCTTAAAAGATCTTGAAATAAGAAAATACCAAAAGGAAGAAACATTTGAAGGAGAAAAACCTTTCCTTCTGCCAAGCTGCTAGAAAAGCCCCTGGGCTCCCCAACTGGGTGGGAAGACAGGACTGGTAAGACTCTCCCCTCCACCTGTAGAGGTCACAAGTGTGAATCGCTTAGTCATGCCCAACTCTTTGCGACCCCATGGACTGTAGCCCGCCAGGCTCCCCTGTCCATTAAATTCTCCAGGCAAGAATACTGGAGTGGGTTGCCATTCCCTTCTGCAGGGGATCTTCCCAACCCATGGATCAAACCCGGGTCTCCAGCATTGCAGGCAGATTCTTTACCATCTGAGACACCAGTGGTACAGCCAAAAGGCTAGCCTAATCTGCTTTCAAAACATCCCATGTCTTAGCAAGCTCTTTATAAATACTTTCCTACCTGCAGGGTATATTCAGAAGAGGGGGAGAGAAAAAGTAAAGCAAGCATAGCAGTGGATCAGAGGATCCCTGGACACGGGGGTGGTTCCTTCCATGAGGCTTCTTATTAAGGACATACCATGTTCTGGGTGCAGTTCTAAGGTCTTTATATATATATATAAACACTTAATGTCTCAAAGCTTTATAAGACAGCTCCTATGATTTTCCCCATTTTACAGATTCAAAAAAACTAAAAAGAGACGTTACACAATTTGTCCAAGATCATTCTAATTTGCATTGCATTTATAAATTTAGGACTACACTTTTGCTAATCCCTAATCAGCTTTGTTAACTGAAGAGCAAAAACTAAATAAAGGAATTTGGGGAAAGTACAGTTGTACAAAGTACCTAAGGAAGTGCTAAACACTGAACAACTTTTCCATTTGAGCCTTTAATCTGCCCAACAGTAAAAAAAATAAAAAACCTTCCTAAGAAGCTCCTTGTGCTCTAATCTCGAAAGTAATGACCTTTGTTCTCAAGAAGTCACCAATGTTGGGTCTCTCATTTAAATACAGTTTATATGCTGGGACAGTGCAGGTACAGAAGTTTCCCTCCTTGATAGACATGGTGAATTACCTTTTCTCAGGAGGAACACTTCAGGAGATAATGTTACTGGTGATCTCATACAAAATCCAAATAAAGAAATCAGAATTTATGTAGACAGGCAAAGAACTGAAGACTCAGAATAAGTTCCCAAATGCCATTACTTTTATGAGATGAGGGAAAAGATATATGCTTACTTTAAAATACATATCTGAGAAAGCAAAATCCAGTTCTGAAATGTTTCAAAAATCACAGTTTCAATGCCTTTTAATTATTTAAAACACATACTTCAGAATGCAAATACAAACAAATTATTAGTGTATTTTTGGATAACCTCTTGAGATAACTGCTCTCTCTCAAAATAACCCTATTCCTAAATAAACTTTTAGTCTTCCATAGAGTACAGCTGAAAATAGGACAATGAATTCTGGCACTTCCTAGAACTAGATCTATATTAAAACACTCACAAATTCACTTGTAGTAAACAGTTTATCCTCTTTATAAATCTTCACATATGTTTTAAGAGTTCCATACTCCCAACAGAGATAAAGACTAAAGGCTTCCATTTGTCTAAGCAATCATCTTTTTTTTTAACCCAGTGGTGTAATAGTGCTTATGGCAGATTTTGAGAATAGGCTATCCTAAGCACAGAGCGGGTCCTTCCAACATTACCTATATGAGGTACAATGGGCTACAAAGAAATGGAATTGTAACCTAGGTAGGGCCCCTAAAACACAACAGGCATCCCCAACACCATGCATCTTAAATGAACAATGGTCTTCGTTAAGCAACAGGGTTATCAAACTTCCAACCTTGCATATTCTTAACCCTGGCAGCTCCCCAATTACTCAAGTCACTCAACAAGCACTGATTAAATACCACTTGTGCTAAGCACAGAGCCTGGTATATGACAGACCCAGAAAAAAATTTTTTTATTTTGTGACCTTGAGGAAACAGAGCCCAAAATAAGTCAAGGCTTCAGTGTAAATGATAAAATGCTTTTAAGATTCCTGTGCCATTGATTGTTGATTTTTTGATGCTGATATTTTTACATAGTATTACTATGGAAATTATATGTACAAGACAGGTGGAAAAAACAAGGACTAGAAATCTTGTAGCTCTGACTCTTCCTGTGGCCCTGGGCTAGCCACTGGGCCTCTTCAGGTCATTAGGAAAATGAGTCTTGAATTCAATGGTCCTAAGTCTTTCCAGTTCTAAAATTCTATTCTCAATTTGCGATCTTTCAAGAGTCCTCAGGAATCTTAGGAGACATGATAATCTAACTCTAGTTGTTTCCGAGAGCTCCAACTTTCAGAAATCCAAATAAGCATGAGCTATACCCTATACACCTTTCACTCTTAAGTGTTCTTTTTATGACTCTTCAATCATTTATTAAGAACCTGTCTTTCATGAAAGTATTCTGTAAATTTTATTTAAGAGTATGTTCTGTAATTTAAAAACTGAAAGGAACTCATTTTATATATTCTGCATGTGTATATATTCTAGAAGCCAGCAGCATGTTTCCTTCCCATTATTCTCCTGACAATATTAAGAGCATTGGACAAATAAGCACATAAAACAATACCGTATGACTCAAACGGTCAGCTGAATCCTAATCCATTAGGTAAAGTAAGAGAAAATCAAGGGCTTTGAGGAACTGCATTAAGTAGTTGGTTGCTCTGTCTTAGGATCAGTTACATATTTGTGGGGCCCAGCACAAAATAAACATGCAAGACTCCTTTCTAAACAAGTACTAAGAATTTCAAATGGTGACAGCACAGCCTTCAGCTAAGCAGTCTTTCTGTCTTGCACACACCAAGTGGCTGCCGTCCCTCTTTAACACTAAACCAAACACAACCTCAGTAACAATTCCCTATGAAACCAGGCTTACCCAAACTTTTCTTTTAACCACTTAGAAGTATTTTCAATACCGAAAATAACTCAATTGGAAACCAACTGTTTTACTGTCCTATTTTTCAAGGATAAAAGGCTGTAGCGCATATCCTGTGAGAGTGTAGGAGACTATTAATTCAGCTCGCCTGAGTTCAAATCCTACCTCTACCTGTACTAGCTGTGCAGCCTCAGGCAAGTAACTTCTTCACCATCCCGTTTTCTCATCTATGCAGAGGACATAATCCCATTCATTTCACAAGATTATCAATACACGTTTAAAATACAAGTTAATACATATTAAGTACTTAGGACAGTGCCTACCACATATTGCTACAAAAGCTTAGCTATTATTTCTATCTGGAAACTGTCTTCACAGAAAGTTAATCTAAAGGGCAAACTTTAACTTTTAGATGGTTCTTTGGTTAACAATCCAATTTCATAAGTAGTTATTAAACACTTACTCAGTAACCTTCCCTTGACAATTTTTCTCTCCCTTCAGTATCATTCTGTCTTCATTAGCTACTTCTGCCTTCTTGGTGGAAAAAAAAAAATCACTTGACCATACCCTTATCAGTTTGAGGTGAATGCCTAGTTTTCAAAAATATTTTCAAGAAACTTTTAAGAAATAAAATATCTTGGCTAATAACCAAATATATAATGACACTTAAATTTTTTACATATATCTTCATGCTATTTTCCCTATAATTTTTAAATACCTAAAATTTTTAAATAGGTATCAAGTGAGACCAGTTCAATGTAAACATGACTGAAATAAAAGAGTCAAAATTTTTTTGTCCAACAATTTTCTCATACATGACGTTTTCTCTCAAAAACCTTTCATCAAGTATTTTACATTCAATTTCTGGTTTTAAAATATTAAACGTTCCTGCATAAAATTTCAGTTAAATTGGCATTTACATTTAAAATCTGTATATTAATCTTTTTATTCACCTCCAATTTGTAGCATTTTAATATGTTCTTTTCCCTATTACAGCAGTTTACATAAAACACAATATAAAAGGGGGTTTCCCTGATAGCTCAGTTGGTAAAGAATCTCCCTGCAATGCAGGAGACCCCAGTTCCATTCCTGGGGCGGGAAGATCCAATGGAGGATAGGCCACCCACTCCAGTAATCTCGGGCTTCCTTTATGGCTCAGCTGGTAAAGAATCCACCTGCAATGCGGGAGACCTGGGTTCGATCCTTGGGTTGGGAAGATCCCCTGGAGAAGGGAAAGGCTACCCACTCCAGTATTCCGTTCTGGAGAATTCCATGGACCGTATAATTTCCACGGGGTCGCAGAGAGTCGGACACGACTGAGCGACTTTCACTTTCATTATATAAAATACTTCTCTTAATATGCCTGTACGGTGGAACTAAAGAGACAATTCCGAGTTTTATATGCTAACTTTTCCAAAGTGCTCAAAAAAAAAAACTGTTAACATATTAGTACTCGTTAGCCAAAAGAATGCCCATTGGAAATGAACACTTCTTACTCTTTGAGACAAGTTTTTAAACTATTTAACCTGCGAATAAAACCATCTTAAGGTGAAAAGTCACAAATACAATACAAAAACGTCCCCGGCTCCGGACTTAAAAAATATACAGATAAGAAGTTGCTGTGTCTGAAGTTGCTGTACCTTAAAGTTTAGAACTCGTGTTAACTAAATGAAGAGCACAGCTAACCTGCAGACTTCTCTGGTCGCTTCATTTCCTCACTTGTCAGAAATGACAGAAGACTTTCAGATTTAGTACTACACAACCTCTCACGCAAAGTCGTATCATTAATGAGTTAAGGTCTACACAAACTACTCACACAAACTACTCACACTCACCCTCTAATTTACATGACTTTACTGCCCTGCTCACACCTACCATTCCGAAAGCCACAGAATTACATTTCTAAGTGAAAGTCACAAGAGGAGTCGTTAATATCCAAGCTTTAATGTTGAAAATGCCAATTAAACGAACAGTCGATCGATTTTAGGCTAAATGCAAAACCGACTGTTCCCAGCAAGACAAGAGGGCTGGGCAACTTAAGACCCTGCACAATCAGAAGCTGCCCTAGAGACCACTGGGACGCGAGCCTCATCTCGAGGCCAGAAGAGGTAAGGAGAAAGTTACAAGGCCTCCAAGGCGGATGCCGGTGGCTGAGCGCCTGTACACGTGTAAAGTGCTCGTCACCTCAAGTTTATCGAGGTTGTCCCCACGCCAGGGTTAGATTCCGGTTTGGGCAGGAGGGGGAAATCAAGGCCGGTGAGCACCATTAAGTGGTGGATATTTCCTGATTAGGGTATGACGAGTAATACGGTGCATCCATATTCCGCCGAGTCGTAGCCCCCAGCAGCACGGGCGTAGCTCCCTCCCTGGGAGACACCAGCCCCGAGACTGCGGCCCCCACTGCCGCGGCCAAGTCAGCCCCGACCCTCAGACTCCACTTCTTTCCCGGCTCCCGGGGCTCCGGGACCCAGAGGTTCGGCGCCATTTAGGTCCGGGTTGGGGAAAGGAGGCCCAGGCACTCTGAGAGTGGAGTCCTGTCCCGGTAGCACACGGAAATGCCTCCTCCCCGCTCCCGGGGTTCCTGCTCCGCCAGGCCCAACCGGAAGGCGGCCGCGGGGCTCGGGCCGGGCAGCCGGGCCGTCCAGGCCGCGCCGGGCCTGCCGAGGCGGCGGGCCGCAGGGAGCGGGCGGAGGGGGCCGCGCCGGCAGGGAGCGCTTCTTCTCACCGTGTGCTCGTGCTCGTCCGCCCGGGCCCGGGGCAGCAGCAGCAGCAACAGCGCGGCGGCCGCCGCCACGCCGGGAACGCCCGGCAGCGGCCTCATCCTCCGCGCTCCCACCGGCCCGGCGCCGGCCCACCGACTCCTCCTCCGCCGCCGCCTCCGCCGCGGCCGATTCGCATCCACGGGGCGCGGACAGACGCACGGGGCCCGGGCCCAGCCGCTGGCTCCTCCGCGCCGCCGCCGTCACCGCCCGCTCCGGAGCCTCCCCCGCCCCCCGCGCCTCCCTGCCTCTTCCTCTGACTCAGCCACGTCATCCGGCCACCCCGGCACACGCCGGAAGTGCCTCGCAACGCGGGGCCGCAACCGCCGCCGGCCGCCCCGCCCTGGAGGCGCGAGTCCGTGGCTGCTGAAGGCCGCCCGAGGGTCCGGCCGGTCCGCCCGCCGGCTCCCAAGGTTGGCTGCACGCATACTGGCCCCAGCCTCGTGCCCCTCGCAGCTGCCTGGCCCTCAGCGCAGGGCCGAAGCCGCCTCTGTTCTACTTGTGCGACCTGGGTCGAAACGCACAACTGTTCCTGGCCTCATTTTCCTCGGCTGTGAAGTGGGGTAATAGTCTGACCTGCCCTCTCTCGCTTGCGGGGATCAGATCGAATAACCCACACAGGCGCTCGGCTCCCGCCGAGAATGAATCACCAGCTCCATAATCGTCATTAAGGGAGATTGCTAAACTGGTGCCGGGTTGGATGAGTGTCATAAAATCCCTGAATATTTTTTGAACATCTGTTCAATCTTTTAAAAATTCTTGTTAGTTTATTTGTTGAATCGCCCGTCCACAGATAGAAACACCTCTTAGAATCTAAGCTTCTCTCCTAAGCAGAGATCCTGTTCACTGACATGTACTAGAACGGTGTCAGGCCCATTGTGGAAACTCGAAAGTTATTTGTCAAATATATACCTGAATATGCAACTGCACAGTCTTCTAAGCCAAACATCTGGACCCTGGAGTCGAGTTGTCTGTATCAGCCATCAGCAGTCAACAAGTTCTAGCATTTGTTATCTTAGAAATATCTAAAGAATTAATTTTTCCTCTCCCCTCCTAGTAACAGCCAGTTGTCTACACCTCACTCACCATGTATTGCAACAACCTCCTAACAGGATCCTTTTTACCGGTCTTCTTTACCTATTTATCCTCCCCAACAGGTACCAGAGGGATTCTTCCATAAAGAAACCTGACTATATCACTGGCTTGCTTAAAATACTCCTTGTATATTGTTTACATAAATCAAGAAATCACAGCTAATGTTTCATCTGCCAGGCACTATTCTGAGCACTTCACATGTATTGACTCCAATCCTTAGGCAACGGGCACTGTTTGTTCATTTTACAGAAATGGTAACAGAAGCACAGAGGGGTTAAGTAGTTACTGAAGGACTTGATCCAAGCATCTGACGTCAGAATCAGTCTTTTGTTTTTAATATTTATTTTTATTTATTTATTTGGCTGTATTCAGTCTTCATTGCGGCACTTGGTTTTTTTATTTGCAGCATATGAACACTTAGTTGTGGCACTTGGGATTTAGTTCCCCAACCAGGGATCGAACCTGGGCCCCCTGCATTGGGAGTGTGGAGTCTTAGCCATTGAACCACCAAGGAAGCCCCAGAATCATTATTTCTTGCTACTAATGGACCGCCATCCATACAATCATTTTAAGAAATGAAGTAGACTTGTATACACTGGCATGGAATGATAGCCAAGAGACAATTTTAAGTGAAAAAATTTGCAAGTATAGACTAATTCCATTTTGAATGATATTAGTCTAACCACAGAAAATAATCTGAAAGATTATGACTCAAACCATTAACAGTGTACATGACTGCCAATACTTGAGTGTTTTGTACAATGGGTATGTGCTATCTGTGTAATTAGAAAAAAAATTCCTTCCTAAAGGATAATCCTATTAGCATGCAACTGCAGAATCAGTTCCCAATTTATCTCCTCAGCTTTACCTCCCACTGATCTCTGCTCAGGCTGAAAGTGAAAGTGAAGCCACTCTTTGGGAGCCCATGGACAGAGGAGCCTGCAGCAGGCTCCTCTGTCCATGGGATTTTCTAGGCAAGAGTACTGGAGTGGGTCGCCATTTCCTTCTCCAGGGAATCTTCCCGACCCAGGGACCCAGGTCTCCCGAATTGTAGACAGGCGCTTTACCATCTGAGCCACCAGGAAAGTCCTGGTGTCTGCTCTGACTACATCCCTATATTTCCCAAATACACCAGATTCTTTTATACCTCTGTACCTTTGCTCTTGTTTTTTTAATTTTTATTGCAGTATAGTTGATTTACAATGTTATATTATTTTTGCTGTACAGCAAAGTGAATCGGTTGTATATACACATTCATCCACTCTTTTTTAGATTCTTCAATGTTCCCTTTGCCTGGAATGGAAACGAATGGACAACCTTTATTTACTCATTTTCCTGGCCTAAATGAATGACCTCTTCAGTGAAACCTTGCATGATGCCCTCAGGAAGTTAAGTATCCCTTCTTCAGGATTCCAGCTGCATTTATGTCATAAAATAATTTATGTCATAATTACCATAGTCTCACGTCCTCTTCTATACTGCATTCTGACCCTTTTTGATGGCATCCACTATCATTTGTTTATATCTGTCCCAGCTGTTGGGACAGTGCTTGTCACATCATAGACATTCAATAACTATTTACTGAAGACATACATAAGTGAAAAGTCAAATAGCATAGAAGCACTTAAGGAACACTTTCCAAATAGTCTAAGAGGCATCACAAAGGCAGTACCTGATTAATTGCTGAATGAATCATACACCAGTAATTGCAATAGAAGTCAGAGGAAGTGTCTTATCCATTTTTGTATATCCCTCAGAGCACCTAGCACTGTGACTTGCTCATAGTGTAAGCTCAGTGAATGCTCCATGAATGAATAATCACAGCTCTTGAATCAAGTGATGATGGGCAATTGAAGAATAAGCAGTGTAAGTGCTGAATTAAGATGGATGAGTAGTTTCTTGCTTAACATCCATCACCAGCCTCCACAGATTTGAGGCATTAACATTTGCTCCGTATTGTCAGGAACACTAGGTTGGCAATTGCTTGAGGGTGGGGATAACAGGGCTTCCCTGGCGGCTCAGACTTAAAAATCTGCCCATAATGCAGGAGACTCAGGTTCAATCTCTGGGTTGGGAAGGTCCCCTGGAGAAGGAAATGGCAGCCCACTCGAGTATTCTTGCCTGGAGAATTCCATGGACAGACAGAGGAGCTTGGAGGGCTACAGTCCATGGGGGTCACAAAGAGTCAGACACAACTGAGTGAGGGAGGACACAAGAAAAAGTATTCATTTGGGGAGTGTAGACTTAGAACTAGGAAACGCTACACACATAACAGACAACAGGCGTAACAGTGTACAAAAAAAGAATTGCACAAAATGTGACCAACAGTGCAAATGTTCAAAAGGCAATATGAACAATGAGCAAGAAGAGAAAAGCAGACCCTGTTTTGGCAGCATATTTGGTAAAGTTTAATGAGGGAAAGAGCATGTAGGGCCATTAATGCAAAGAGTATTTATTGAACATCTGTTATGTGCCAGGAACTCTGGTAGGTACAAGGAAATGATAAATAGCTTTAGGTGATAAAAGTCTGGTAACAAGTAGGCTTGGGAAGAAGGAATAGGAGATAAAGTAATTAGAGGAAAAGGAATATGGCTTCAAAGATTCTTGGAGCCTGATGACCTCAAGGCTCAAAAATCACTAGTGCTGGGCTTCCCTGATGGTCCAGTGGTTAAGACTCTGCCTTGCAATGCAGTGGACACCAGTTCAATCCCTGGTCTGGGAAGATCCCACATGCCATGGGGTAACTAAGCCCATGCACCACTTAATTTCTAACCCTGTGCTCTAGAGCCTGCAAGCCGCAGCTAGTGAAGCCATGTGCCTAGAGCCTGTGCTCTCCGACAAGAGAAGCCACCACAATAAAAAGTCCACACACAGCAACTAGAGAGTATCCTCTGCTCTCCACAGAGAAGGCCCATGCAGAGCAACAAAGACCCAAACAAAGCACAGCAAAAAATAAATTAAAAAAAAAATCATTAGTACTCAAGGGCACCATCAAAATCAGGGTTGTTCAATCAATGTAATACACCACATTAACAAATTGAAAGATAGAAACCATATGATAATAGATGCAGAAAAAGCCTTTGACAAAATTCAACATCCATTTATGATTAAAACTCTCCAGAAAGCAGGAATAAAAGGAACATACCTCAACATAATAAAAGCTATATATGATAAACCCACAGGAAGCATTACCCTCAATGGTGAAAAATTGAAAGCATTTCCCCTAAAATCAGGAACAAGACAAGGGTGCCCACTCTCACCACTACTATTCAACATAGTTTTGGAAGTGTTGGCCACAGCAATCAGAGCAGAAAAAGAAGCAAAAGGAATCCACATAGGAAAAGAAGAAGTGAAACTCTTTCTGTTTGCAGATGACATGATCCTCTACATAGAAAACTCTAAAGACTACCAGAAAATTACTAGAGCTAATCAACAAATACAGTAAAGTTGCAGGATATAAAATTAACACACAGAAATCCCTTGCATTCCTATACACTAACAATGAGAAAACAGAAAGAGAAATTAAGGAAACAATACCATTCACCATTGCAACAGAAAGAATAAAATACTTAGGAGTATATCTACCTAAAGAAACAAAAGACCTATACATAGAAAACTATAAAATACTAGTGAAAGAGATCAAAGAGGACACAAACAGATGGAGAAATATATCGTGTTCATGGATTGGAAGAATCAATATTGTCAAAATGGCTATACTACCCAAAGCAATCTATAGATTCAATGCAATCCCTATCAAGCTACCAACGGTATTTTTCATAGAACTAGAACAAATAATTTCACAATTTGTATGGAAATACAAAAAAAACCTCAAATAGCCAAAGTAATCTTGAGAAAGAAGAATGGAGCTGGAGGAATCAACCTGCCTTACTTCAGACTATACTACAAAGCTACAGTCATCAAGACAGTATGGTACTGGCACAAAGACAGAAATATAGATCAATGGAACATAATAGAAAGCCCAGAGATAAATCCACGAACCTATGGAACCTTATCTTCGACAAAGGAGGCAAGGATATACAATGGAAAAAAGACAACCTCTTTAACATGTGGTGCTGGGAAAACTGGTCAACCACCTGTAAAAGAATGAAACTAGAACACTTTCTAACACCATACACAAAAATAAACTCAAAATGCATTAAAGATCTAAATGTAAGACCAGAAACTATAAACCTCCTAGAGGAGAACATAGGCAAAACACTCTCTGACATAAATCACAGCAAGATCCTCTATGACCCACCTCCCAGAATATTGGAAACAAAAGCAAAAATAAACAAATGGGACCTAATGAAACTTAAAAGCTTTTGCACAACAA